AACACTTCTATAAGCAAATAGAACGTGTTCCTATAAAAAAAGCTAAACTGACCAAAAACTTAAACAGATTCAATAGTTGCTGAGATTTCTATTAAAGTCTTCTCCAGCATTTGACCTTCCCATGGCCATTTTGTTCCTCTACATTAAGAAACGTAGTTTCTTAACAGTACATTAACCAAAAATTCATTCATAAAATCTCTGACACAGCCATTTCTCACATAACCATAAGTCTGTTGAAGTCACAAACTTGTTACCCTTTCATACCATTTCAAATTGGGTTTCTACAAAACTGGAAGAATTGTCAGTTCCTGTAGATATTTAATAATAGTCAACAATGAAGCTGTCGGATATGTCACATCTTAATGCCTATGAGTAGGGGGCAGATTATAATCAGACAGTTAAAGGAAGAGAAATTGATTATCTTGGTTTGGCAAATGTTATCTAATAGCAAGAAATGGGAAGAAACTGACTTAGCCTATTCTATGGATTAAAAGCTTCACCCAATTAGAAAACATGATTGGAAAGGAGATATCTAATATTTCCCCTGTACAATGTAAATGTGATCCCAAACTACAGAAACATGAAGTATCATACTTAGAAAGCAGTGATATAACTGATTCAAGAAAAGAAAAGTGATAAATTTGCCAAACTATATGAGTAACACAGTTGTACATGTCTGTTTATAACAAACAGTTACACTAATGAATACTAAGTGGTCAGGAAAAACAGAACAAATTCTATTTAAAGATAGCATTGAAAATTATAATTGCTTTGTTTATAAATGAGTAATCTATAGACAAAATGAGTCTTCAGTGTAATGCTTTTAAATTTATATCACTTTACCTTGAATACACTGTCATAATGTAAAATTTATATTAAAGGGAGTTTCATATGCTAAATGAAATAATTTTTTTTCAAATTCTTTGACTTTTACCTAAAGGCTGTTTTCCAAGCATTAAAAGCAAAATATAACAACACTGACAAAAGAATGTATTTTTTTCTGATATGTGCTCACTGTAAATTACTCCACCAAGGGAATAAAATCTACCATACAGATCCACAATTTATGGACGGTATAAACAATAATAGACACTGTTTTTTCCAGTTATAAAATCAATTAATACATCATAGAAAATATTAGTAAATGTATATTTTACTCTGCTAAAAACTTTTTTCATATTAAAGTTATTTTGATATTAAAATCAGAAAAGTATATATACTAGAAATTAAAGCATTTCCATATCACATATTAACATGAAAAATTTTTTTTGTAATAAAATATATGTGAAGTGGTATTTCATTGTGGTTTTGATGTGCATTCTCTACTTTTTAGTGATGTTGAGCATCTTCTCACGGGTTTATTAGTTTTCTGTATATCTTCTTTGGGGAAATATTTCAGTTGCTTGCTTTTTTGAATTGGGTTGTTTGCTTTTTTGTTGAGTTCTAAGCATTCTTTACATATCTGGCTATTAATCCCTTATCAGATGTACATTTTTGCAAGTATTTCCTACCATTCCATGGATTGGATTATCTTCTATTAATTTTTTTCCTTGTTGCATAATAGGTTTTAATTTTGAGGTAGTCCGATTTTCTTTTTCTTTTTATGCCTCAGTTTTTGTTGTCATATCCAAGAAATTACTGCCAAACCCAATCTCATGAAGCTTTTCTCTTATACTTTCTTCTGGGAGTTTTGAAGGTTTAGCCTTATGTTTGGGTCTTTAACTGATTTTGAGTTAATTTTTGAGTATGTTGGTTAAGTGAGGTTCTACTTTTCTTTTTCATGTGGATATACAGTTTTCCCCAGGATCATCTGATGAACAGACTGTCTTTTCTCCATTGACTGATCTTGGTACCCTTATCAAACAAAAGCACTTGACCACATATGTGAGGATTATTTTGGGGCTGTCTATTCTATTCCACTGGTCTATATGTCTCTCTTTATGTTAGTACCACACCATCTTGATCACTGTAGCTCTGTAGTAAGTTTTCAAATAAGGAAGTGTGAGTTGTCCAGATTTGTTATTTGTCAAGACTGTTTTGAGGTTCCATATGAATTTTAGGATGGATTTTTCTAATTCTGCAAAAAATGTCATTGGGGTTTTGACAGGGATTGTACTGAATCTGTAGAATGCTTTGAGTAATACGGTTATCTGAATAATAATAGTCTTCTAATCCATTAGCAGGGGATGTCTTCCCATTTATTTGTGTCTTCTTTAATTTCTTTTAGCAATGTTTTTATAGTTTTCAGTGTACGAGTCTTTTGACTCCTTGGTTAAGCTTAGTCCTAAGTATTTTTTTTGATGCTATAGTAAATGGAATTATTTCTCTTAATTTTCTTTTCAGATTGTTCACTGTCATTGTATAAAATGCAACTAATTTTTTGTGGTGATTTTGTTCCCTGAAACTTTGTTCAAGTACTACCTCTAATGGGTTTTTTTTGTTGGATCTTTTGGGTTGTCTACATATGAGATCATATTGTCTGTGACCAGAGATAATTTTATTTCTTCCTTTCCAATTTGGATGTTCCCCTCTCCCCTTTTCTTGCCTAATTGCTCTGGCTAGGATTTTCATTAATGTTAAATAGAAGTAGCAAAAGCAGGCATCCTTGACTTACTCTTGATCTTAGAGAAAAGCTTCCAGTCTTTCATAGTTGAGTATGATGCTTGCTGTGGTTACTTCATATTTAGGCTTTATTATGTTGAGACATTTTCCTTCTATTCCTAGTTTACTGAGCGTTTTTATCATGAAAGGGTGATTTTTGTCAAATGCTTTTTTAGAATTCAATTGAGATGATCATGTAATTTTTTCCTTCATTCTGTTAATGTGGTATGATTGATTTTCATACGTCGAACTATCTTCATACTCCAAGAATAAATCCCACTTGGTGATGGGTTATAATCCTTTTAGTATGCTGCTGAATTTGTTTTGCTAGTATTTTGATACATATTTTCACATTAATATTTATAATTAGTTTGTCCTTCTCTTAGAATGTCTGTCTCTACTTTTGCTATCAGGGTAATACTAACTTCATAGAATGAGTTTAGAAGTGTTCCTGTATCTTCAACTTTTTGGAAGAGCTTGAGAAGGATTTGTATCAATTCTTCTTTAAATGTTTGGTAGGATTTACCAGGGAAATCATCTGTTCCTGAACTTTTCTTTATTGGAAGTTTTTGGTTACTGATTTACTCTTTTCTTATTATACATCTGTTGAGATTTTCCATTTCTTCTAGTTTATCTCATTTGTTGGTGTATGATTATTCATAATGTTCTCTTATACTCCTCTTTATTTTTGTTAAATCATTAGGTAATGTCTCTTTTTTATCTCTGCTTTCAGCTGAGTCTTCTTTTATTCTTAGTCCACCTAATTAAAGGTTTTCCAATTTTGTTGATTTTAGTTATTGATCAACTATTGAGTTTGTTTTTTTCTCTACTGTTTTTCTATTCTCTATTTTATATATCTCTGCTTTAATCTTTATTATTTCCTTTCTTGTGCTAACTTTGTGTTAGTTTGTTCTTCTTTTTCTAGTTCTTAAGGTGTAAAGCAGGTTGTTGAATTGAAATCTTTCTTTTTTAAAGTAAGCATTTACAGCTATAAATGTTCATTGTAGCACTGCTTTTGCTGTATTCCAGAAGTTTTATATGTAGTATTTTCATTTTCATTTGTCTCAAGATTATTTTCAAAAGACTTCTCTTGTGATACTTTCCATTTTCCCTTTGACCTATGGGTTTTTAGGAGTATTGTTTAATTCCCACATATTTGTGGATTATTCAGTTCTCCCTGTGCTGTTGATTTCTAGTTTTATTTCATTTTGATCAGAAAGGATACTTTGTATGATTTCAGTCTTTTAATTCACTGAGACTTGCTTTGTGGCAGGATATCTTTCTTTTTTAAGAAAGTAAGATAAAGGCAATTTTTTTTGCTCAATAAGGTTTTTAAATTTCAATATAAAATCCTGGCTTGTAAAAACACAATTAGGAAATGAGCAAAACAAATAAAAAAGACAAGACACATGTCTTGTTTGCTATACAGAGGCAAATAAGCACTTTTAAGTCTGTTCAACATTATTAGCAAATGCAAATTAAACACCCAATGTGGTATCACTACATATACAAATGCCTAAAACTAAAATGGTAACATCAAAGGCTGCTGAGGATGCAAAGGAAACAGATCATTCATACATTGCTGGTGTGAAGGTAAAATAGTTCAAATGTTCATCAAGAGGTGAGTTGTTAACAAAAGGCAGTACATCCATTTCATGGAATACTACTCAGCAATAAAAAATATGGAACAACTTGGATGAACTGCAAGGAAATTATGTTGAACAAGGACAACCATATGAAAAGATTATATACCATATGATTCTAGTCATATGTCATTCTCAAAATGACAAAATTATAGCAATAGAGAAGAGATAGGCGGCTGCCAGAGGTTAGGGACAAAGAAGTGATAGCATGAGGTGGCCTTGTGGTAAAAGAAGAGCTGTGGATCTTGACTGTGGTGATGGCAACATGAATCTACATACATGACAGGTATAATGAAATTACACATAGCATACACAAGCGAGTGCATGTAAAACTGGTGAACTCTGAATGGATTCTGTGGCTTGTAATAATGGCAATTTACTAGTTTTTGAAGATTTTACTATTGAGGGAAACTGGGTAAAGGGTAAGGGAGACCTTCCTGTGTTTTTTTATAACTTTCTGAGCATTGTAATTATCTCAAAATAAAAGTTTGAATAAAAAACAGCTACCTAAAATTATAATTAAGGTTACATAATATATATCTTTAAACATTTATGTTTTGTCAAAGCTAATTATCAAAAATCCTGGTTTATAGAGTTGTGATATTCCAGCAAAGATAACATATATTGTTTGTGTCTAATAAGAAATGAAGTATGACTCTCTGTTGTATAAACGGAACACAACAGTTAGTGTACATCCAGTTGTGTTACCCTACAACATTAAGGCACTCTGTATCATTATTGTAGGTCTGTCAGTACCTGCAAAAGCCACGCAGATGTGGTCATCTAGGGCACAAATTTTCCTCACAGTTCTTTCATCTTGAAGCTTGGCAACAGATTTTTTTTCTACTGCAAGCACAATTATATCAGTACCTCGAATTCCAACCTGTCAAGTCATTAAAGAAACGTAGTTACCTGTCATTTTTAACACTAAAATCAATTTATCAGAACACATGACTTATAGGAAAATGCTTTTCCTTAAACATTCAATAAAAATGAGAACAGGAGACTTCTAAGAAAACAGCTGCATAGATACGTGCTTACTTGAAATCCAACCCCCAAACTCAAAGCAAAGACGACAAATAGGTAGAAACTGGGAGAATATACCACCAATGATGAAACTATGAGTGTCCTAATATCAGACAATACACCCAAAGAAGTGCTATCTAAATACAGAACAATCTTAACCAAAAGAAAGAAGAAGAATAAAAGGAGTTCACATGGATTCCTTATAAAAAGGGCAATACCAGTACTGGTGGTAGTAGAAGTAGTATAGAAAGTTAAGTAGGAAAAACCCTGAAAGCTCTCCAATGTATCTCACAATTTGGAGAGAGAAGAATTGGGGGCTATAAGCAGCCAAAAGAAGGACCAAATGCCCTCATCCTATATCACTGATAAACACAGCCTTAGCTCAAACACAAATACAAGAAGAATCACTACTGTTCCTCCCTCTAACTCCTTCCCTTGGGAGGGAAGTGGGAAAAAGTCTGAAGAGTGATGTACAATGGTGTTAGTTCTCAAAAAGGGACTTCTAAGGAAAACATGGCCATATTCTCAAGTTCAGGAGTAATCTATGAAAATTTTAATTTGGTATGACAATGGCAATATAAATATTTTGATAAAGGTAACTGATTGCCTTGTGGCCAAGTGCAATGATATTAGTACTCTTCTAATTAATATAACTATGAATAAAGTATGCTCTGAATCTGTATTATTGAAGTAAAAATACAGAACAGGTTAAATATACAACTAGAGTTCAAATTATATCTTTTAATTAAATTAGATAATTTATCAAGGTGTTTCCTCTTATTGTCCCCTCACTTTATTCAAGTTTGTCACTTTATCTAACAGGCCTTCCCTAACTATCTTACATACAATCAGCAACCCTCCCTCGACATCTCACCCTCACCTAAGAGACAGTTGTTCAACTTTATACTGTAAGGGAATATGTCTATTTATCAAGCCATGAGACATCATAACAATTTGACAAAAATTAAGGCTCAAAGAAAATCTCAATATTTTCCCCAAATATAAAAAAATCAAATTCACTGATTACCAGACAACACAATACTTTTTTATAATTCTCACCTAAACAATTTTTGACTTACAAAAGAAATTAAAACTGCCAACATGGACTACCTAGGAAATGTTTACGTCTTTTGGATGGGGATAAAACTAGCCTCAGAAGAAAATTAATAGTTTTACTTTATAAAATCAAAAAATTAATTAAGAATTCATTCAAAAAGTTCAAAAAGGTATAAAATATTAAAGGTAAGCTTAAAGGAAAAAAGTAGAATTAATGATTAGGAAGAAAACAATAAATTTGATAATACCAAGAGACAGTTTTTTAAAGAACAATTAAAAGAGATGTCCCAATTAATCTAGCCAAGAGGGCATAAGTGTAAAAGAAACACACAAGTGTGAAAAAATAGGAATTTAAAAACTATAACCCTAATTTAATAAATTTGAAAACCTGACTGAATAAGGATGACAGACAAGATGCTATTCAAGAATAAAATAGAGATACCTAACAGCTAAGTGCAGGTCATGGACTTCAGACTCACACTCAAGCAAAACATATTTTGTGAGCAATCAGGAAAATTAGAATGTAGATTAACACAAAATATTAGGGAGCTTTTGTTAATTTCATTAGAAGTGATAATGGTTTCAAGAAACATCTTTATTTTCTAGAGATGCATACTGAAATATTTACAGATGAAATATAATGTTAATCTGGGATTATTTAAAAATACTCCACTGAGAAATCAATTTCAACCAATACCTTATACCATATACAAAAATTAACTAAAAAAATGTGAAATATAAAGCTTTTAGGAAAAAAATGGGAGAAAAATTTTGGGATCTATGCAAAGACTTCTTAGGCTTGGCACCAAAAGTATGAACTCTAAGAGGAAAAGTTCATTATAAATATGAACTTTTGGTCTGTGAAGTTGTAGGCTCTGTGAGGATAGGAACTGAGTCTAATTCATTGTGAAACCCTAGGGCCCACACATGTTTGACATATGTAAGTGTTCAACAAAAACGTCGTAATAGTAAATGAATGTGCTGAAAGAATCTTACACAAAATTGAAGGAGAAAGAGAAAACAAAAAGGCAGTAAGTAATAATAGCTACCATTAAGTACTTGCTGTGAACCAGACACTGTGCAAGATGCTAACACATACTATTACCTCATACAACTCTGATAACTACCCTATTAAAAGCAGGTGCTATTTTGGTGTCAATTTTATTATTAAAGAAATAAATTCCCTTACATGATACATATCTGACTTGCGCATTCACAGTAATGATAGCTGATTAATATACAAATAATACTGAATAAACTGCATACTACAATGCAAGGAGTAGAGGCTTTGGAACTAGAAAAATTTAAGTGTGAATAGGGCCCATCACTTTCTAGTTGAGTAAATTCAGCAAGCTATGAAATCACTTTCTTCACATAAAAAAGGGGATTAAGTGTTGTCCTTTTAGTATTAGATAAATGTACATAAAATAACTTGGCACAAAATAAGTATTTCTTATATGTTAGTTCACTTCTTCCTAATCTCTCCACTGTATATTGTGTGGTAAAAATACAAAAGGAATTATTACAGCATCTAGATTCTCAAAGATCTCACTATTCAGTTGGTGAGAGAAGGCTATTAAATATGCCTGAATTAAAGAGAATACGAGGCCAAATAGGAGATACTGTACAATGCCCTGTGGTACAGATTATACGTTCAAAGGAAGAAAAGATTTCAAGATGATTGGAGTGGACCAGCGAAGGCTTCATGAAGGAGGAAAATGTGCAGAGATTCCTCGAGGATAAGAAAAATGGAGAGTGGCAGAAAGAAAGGTGTTTCCTCCTCCACCTACAAGGGCAGAAGTATGTTTTAGTAAAACCTTAGCTGCCCTCTTAATTAAAAAGGGTGGGTAAGGATTATGGGAGACTTTGATGGCCCGACCATGGAGCCCAGACTTGATAAAGTCTGAAATAAGGAACTAATAACAGTTTGGGGTCAGGGAAAGGACAGAATGAGGAATGATAATAAATCTGAACTTTTTCATGGGAATACTGTGAAAGATTCATTCTTCTTCCTAATAAGAAAGGTATTAACTCTCCAAAATGTTATTCAAACGTATTTTTCATTATTAGAAAGGGAGCTAAAGCAAAAAGAAAACAGGTCTCTTGCCTCACTTCATGCTGTAAAATAATCTAGAAGTAGAATCCAAGGCTTCAAATTGTGGCCCATGTAAGTTTTTGTATTACTTTGTAATATATCCACATACTGGTCAAAACTGGTCAACATTGGTTGATTTATAACTAATCATACCAACTTTTGTTTATAGACAGGCCATTTTATAACATATTTCAATAAACAAGCACCATTATAAACCTTACCCCATGTAAAAGGTCATAGCACCTTCAAGGAAACACAATGAGTAACTCCATACAAAGATGCAAATTATAATTTCAGAATCTGAAATGAGACAAAACTGTCTCATCCTTCCAATGTAGCTTTAAAAATGCCCACTACAGATATTTTATATCCTTACCCTTTTACAGCTCATTACAAAGGAACTATCAATCAGTTCTATAGCATTCTTAAAACATTTTAAATGAGCCAATGTGGTTTCTTATTACACCCGTCTTCTCCATTACTCCTTTTATTTTAGGCTCTAAAACCTAGGCATTATTTTCTAACCATATGCTTCATGCCATGCTGGGGATTATATAACTTTTTGTTTTTATCAAAATGGTACCCTTTTGGTTTAACCTACATTAGACTTTCTTTAAATTTATAATTCTAAAAATATTACTTATAAAACAAGCACAATGACTGGGCCCAATTAAATAGAAAAAATACTTTAAAAATGATATTCTTTCTGGTGTTTTTTTTAATCACTTTACATCTGATAGATTAATAATAAAAGTGAATTATTTCCTCCCATAACCAAGTCGGTATGGAATGAGAAAGAAAACACACACTCTCTGGACTTAGAAATGAACTGTATTCTCACCACGAGTGTCTCAACTTGCAAAATACACAACAAACACGTTCAGGAAATTTGAGAGATTAAATAAAATTGAATGCTTCTGAATTCGTAGGCTAGGTCTTGAAAGGTTTGGGGTAATAGGTCTTTGGTCACCAGGGCACTTTTGTCCTTTTTAACTTTTATAAATCACTAAGATTATTAAATATAATTAAAACTTGGCGGGAGTATTACTGCTACCCTGGGTATCTAAAACTTTTTCAGAGATGTGAATATATAAATTAAAAGTAGGGTATAACCTCTCATTGAATCCCAGTATTATTTAAGGAACAAATACAAAAGTGGAAAGAGTGGATGTTCTTGGGGCTTAGAGCTTCTGAAAGGCTGCTAAATATTTGGGTGGAAATTCTGGGACAATTATTTTTGCAGGAGAAAGTGACAAGTGGTTTAGCATTTTTAACTGTTTCCTTGCCAATAAGGATGTAATATTTCATTGATTTAGTCCATATTTCAGGGGCAGGCATGATCTATTTTCAATTTTTAAAATAATTATTATTAAATAACAGCTTCCTACGTGAAGGAAATGTTCCTTTTCAATGCCTCTGTGCATTTCCGAGAAGTGGGCCATGAGCATCTCGTTAACGGCTGGATGAAGTCTTTCTCCCCTTGTCAGACGCAGGTAGAGGCAGGGCTAACGCGAGCACACACACACCACGCAGTTCTGAGTCTGTAGTTATTGTTCAACAAAAGCCTTTGCGCAATAGAAACCTATGAACTCTACCAACTTTAACTCTGCCCCAACCAAACCGAACTTCAGAAAGAGCATCTCCCTTAATAAAATGAACGTAGCAATTGTCACCAATGGGCGCCTCTCCTCTGCCAACCCCGTACGCCCAGCGGGAGGGCTGGGGCCGCTGGGTCAGGCGGGCGGGACCAGGCCCAAGGGGCTGTGGTCCAGAAGTTGATGGCTCACCGCCGTGGATCCCTTCTTCACCGCTTCCTGGTCATATTCCACTTGGAAAAGGTGTCCGTCTGGGGAAAAGACAGTAATTGCCCGGTCATATCGGGACGCCATCGCGCAGGCCCGCACACACGCCCGCGGGGAGCCCAAAGCTCCCGCAGCTAAGGCCAGCGCAAGAGCCGCCCCTGCCGCCACGGGCTACCGGAAGTGCTCGAGCACGCGCTGTAAAGTGCCGCCCGGCAGTGCTTCGCACTCGCAGTCCCAGCGGCTGCCGTCCGCGCTGGGCCGGCCGGGTAAGTGTGCAGCTCCTGTTCGTGGTTCGCGTTCATCTCCTAGGTTTCCCAACGCGGTACCAACCCTCGCGGGGTGTCAGATCACTTCGCTTATAAAAATGACATAAAAAATTAGGGCTTAACTGAGAACTTCAAATAGTACTAGAGGTAAATTACATTTCAACCTCTTTTTGCCTTCAAATTATAAACTTCCTCTCTTATGTCATTTTAACTCAAGGAAGGAAATAATCAAGATAGTGTTACTTTTTTCATTTTCTACCGTGTGATCAAATGACCATTAAGCAAAATAGTGCATCAAACTAATGCTATGACAGGAATAAAGATATACTATTTTAATCACATTTTTTTTAAAAAAATGAAAGTTTGCTTGCTAGAGGCATACTTCCCAGCTACTGGTGTACAGGTCCAGACAATATGGCAATAAAGCAAATACCTCAACAAAAAGTCAAGTGAATTTTTTGGTTTCCCAGTCCTTAGAAAAGATGTTTACACTTAAGTCTATAAAAGTGTGTGATAGCATTTGGTTGAAAAAAACAATTAACATACCTTAATTTAAGAACACTTTTATTTCTAAAAAATGCTAACCATCGTCTAAGCTTTTGGCAAGTCATAATAATCACTTATCACAGACTGCCATAACGAATACAATAATGAAAAAGGTTAAAATATTGTGAGAATTACCAACAAGAGATAGAGACAGAAATGGGCCACTGCTGTTGGAAAAGTGGCACCAATAGATTTGAGACAAAGTAGCAACTGAACCTTAAATTTGTAAAAAAAAGGGCAGATCAGTACCTTCTAAATAAAATGAGGTATCCCTGAACTTAAAGGCTATCTGCAAATTTAACTATAGTAGAAAGTCCGTATAACGTTGTATATTATTACATGTGAAACAACTCTTCTTCATCTTCATGAATAAAATGGGAATATTTAAAAATCAGTAGCAAAAATGCTACGGAGGTTTAAAGGTGTTTCTAGGTATAAAAACATTGAAATGTGGCCTGGTGGGTAGTAAAAGCCAGGTAAGTTTATTTTTATATTGTTTAATATATGTTGTTTCCCAATGGGGAGGAAATCAATCTTAACTAAGAAAGGAAGAAAGAATAATTTCCCACAAAAGAGGAAAACTCAATATACTTAATCTCAAATACTTAATCCAGAATTTTGGTTGACTATTACAAGCAGTTTGTATTTACACTTTTATTTTTTTTCCCTTAACATTAGAAACTATTGAAAAAGTTTGGTTCTACTGAGAAAAACAGTAATTCCTAATCAAAAAACCTCTAACTACAAGAGTTTCTGAAATTTTGCAATGTTATGATAAACCAGCATTTACAAGAAGCTATTATTTCAAAGTGTTTTAGTATTCTTGTTACATTATCCTTTTTTATTTTTCTTTTGAAATAATTACAGACCAGAGGAAATTTCAAAAATTTTGCCGAAAGGTCCACTGTAGCCCTTCCCCCAGCTTCCTCCAATGGTAGTATCTTACATAAGAAAACCAGGAAAGCAACATTAGTATAGGTCACAGAGTTCATTCAAATTTTGCTAGTTTTACTGTACTCATTTGTGTATGTGTGTGTGGTTCTATGCAATATATCATATATAGGTTGGTATAACCACTACCACAATCAAGATAACTGTTCCACCATCACAAAGATCCTTTGTGCTGCCCACTTATATCACACCTATCCACCTCCCACCCTAAAACCACTATTCTGTTCTCTATCTTTATGATTTTGCCATTTCAAACATTTTATATAAATGGACTCAGAGGGTGTAACTTTTTTATGGCTTTTCATATTAAATGATTATAGAGCTACAGGAATTTAAAATGATAGTACAGTGGCCTTTTACTTAGTTTACTTAATTTATTTCATCTTATACAACTATATCAGAACCAGGAAATTGATATTGGTAGAAAATAGGTGTATATCTTTGATTCACATTTTTGAAAGTATGACTTATGATAGCAAGTATTTCAGAAATATGATAGCATTAAACTATTGACAAGGATTAATGAACACATTCAGAATTTACATTGATACTTAACAATGTGGCTTTGGGTAGGTATAATTCACTAAAACCTAGTTTCTTGACCTGTTAAATGAGCTAAATACCTACTTCACAGTGTTGTTGTGAAGAGCAAATGAAATAATATATTAGTGCAGGCAGGGCAATGCCTGACACAGATAAGAACTCAAAAAATATTAACAATTATTATTAATAATTGACCTAACTAAAGAGTTTAGCTATTCTGTGAGAGAAAGTAGGAAGAGTAAAAGTATAACATGGACCCATTTATGTGTTTTTTAACAGTATATATGTGCAAATAAATATTTCTAAATCTATAGAGAAAAGAGTAAAAGAACATACATGATGTTGACAAAAAGTGCTTTTCTTTGCAGGAGACCAGAGATTGAACAAAGAATGGCAAGACATGGTAAGAAAAGAGAAATTACAATTTTAAACTTTATATCTGAAGTTTAAAAAAATTTTACAGTAAGCATAATTTAGCTTTACCCTTAAACAATAAAAACAACAGCAAGACACAATTTAATGTGTAGGGGCTTCCAGCAATGGCAGCTTTAATAGCTCGATCCAAATCCCCTATTGAGAACAACTATAAATAGTGGAAAAAATATTTACCTGACTCCAAATAGGTAAGTAACAAGAATGAGGATTTGTAGCACCAAGATTCAGAAGAGAAGGAAAACTTGTAGGAGTAAGCCTAGCATTTTCTCCTTGAGGTATTTGTCTTTTCCCAATACCTAGATGAGAAGCAGACCTTTGATAGATAGAAATTGGAATTCAAAGCCCATAGAGAGCATGTCTTTTATTCGGAACTCAAAGGGCCACAACCCAGAGGTAAAGTGAATGAAAAATAGACCTGTTATCACTGGAACTAACACCAAGGCTTGAGTCTTCTCAATCCATGGAATAAAATAAAGTAAGGTAAAACAAAATCCATTGGAATAAAGCAGTGTTTCTCAAACTGTGAACCATAGACCTTTGGAGGTACTGAAAAACCTTTAAATGGATTCACTCTGTCAAAATTACGGTGATAATACTAAAACAGTATTTTCCCTGTCACTGTATGGACATTCCTATAAACAGTACAAAAGAAATGGGTAAAACTGCTGGAGACTTAGCATGAATCAAGGCAGAAGCACCATTCTGTACTAGTATATGTTGTATTCTTTACCACTAAGCACTCATGTAAAAAAAAAGGTTAATTTCATTTTAGAATATCATTGAATAACCAATAAATCATTAGTTTTATTAAATCTTGATTCTTTAGTACTTATCTTTTTAACATTCAGAGTAACATAATGTGAAGTTCATATAAGGCACTTCTGCTGCCTTCAAAGTAAGATGGTTAGCTTGAGAAAAAAACACCTTTGTAAATTTTGCAGTTGCTAGCTGAACTAGCCCCCTTTCTCATGGAACACCACTTATACTGGAAAGTGATGAGACATTGTGGCAACTCAGAGTTGGATATTTGAAGACATTTCTTGCAAGTGAATAAAATTAGCTTGTCACTTCAAGAAAAACAACAGACAGTATGTATTTCTAAAGATAAAATTCAAGTTTTTAAGCAAAAATTAGAATTTTGGAAACCTTGTATCCATCACTATGAACTGACAACTTGGAAAGATGCATAACTCAGTGAACTATTATTTTCAAACAACTAAAGCATGATACACAATCATATATAAATAAAAGACATTTAAATTGCTATGCAGATCAAGAGAGTCTAATTTCACAGAGTACTGAAAGTTCATTAATATGATCTGAGATTACAAATTTCAACTAACTCTAGGAAACTACCACCTTATGAGTATTGGTCTAATATCAAAGACTATCTGATGATTGAAATCACCAGAAGAATGATCTGATGTGATCTAAAAAGGCTATAAAAATACTCTTCTATTTCTTAATACATATCTTTGTAAGAGTTTTTTTCCTGATATTTTAATCAAAGTAACATTGGCAACAGTATGAATGTAGAGGCAGATATGAGAATCCAGCTATATTCTATTAAGCCAGATGTTAAAGAGATTTACAATCTCATTCTTCTCATTAACTTTTAAAAATTTTGGAAAACACATGTTTTAAGTTTAAATATTTAAATAGAAATATATGAAATGTGTCAATATGTAATGATTTTAATATTTTTTGAATGAATAAATAAAATGTTTTATTTTTAATTTATAATATGGTAAATATTGATAAACATAATCACTTAAACCAAACTTCTGTCGGGTCTTCAATAATTTTTGAGGGTGGTGTTCCTAAAGCCAAGAAGTTGGGAAGTATTGAGATAAAGCATTGCTTGTGACCCTAGATGATTAGCTGCCTGCCAAAGCAAAAGTAAATCTCCTGTAGAGAAAGATCTTATCATGCAGAACCTCAAATAATTGTTGCAGCTTCTCATATGCAATATCCTATGCTCAAAAAATAACTGTGTACACAAAAGAAACAATGTATCTAGAGAACAAGAAAAACAACAGGTAATAGAAACAGATGAATAGAAAATCCAGATAATGGGGTATGACAGGCAGACTTTTTAAAAACAAATAGGATAATTATATGCAAGGGATTAAAGACAAAATCAAGATTGTCAACAGGGACTAGAACTATTAGTAAATCACCTATTAGAAATTGTAAAAGTGAAAACTGCTTTGAAATTAAGAACTCAATAAGTGGATTTAAAATCAGATTAGACCTAGTTGAAGTGAGAAGTTGGGGAACTGAAGATAGTTTTTTTAAAAATTAGATATACATTATCTCCATATCAAAGCAGAGAGAGAGAACACTGAAAAAGAATTTAAAACATATTGGCTATGTTGTAAAACTTAATGTATGTATAGTTGGAGAACCAGTACAATAGGAGGTAGAAAAATGGGCAGAAACCACATATAAAGATATTTTGT